AAACATTTTATAAAACATACATAAAACAAACTATTTCTTATTTAACAGTTAAAATATTTCATCCTTGATATATATATATATATGGACGAAATTTTACTGGAGAGACGCCATTATTTGGAGAGACGCCATTATTTCTGTTAAAAGTGAAGATGACAAAATGTTATTATCAGTTCTCTTCATTTAATTGTATTTGTGTAAGCAGTCGTCTATGAATGCCTCTCTCCTCCCTCCAGCTATGGGATAAATAGTTGTACTTGTATCTTTAAAAATTGCTGTTATACTCAGAAAAGTCTTAATCCAATATTTAATCACAGAAAAAAAGAATGACTATTACAGTTCCAAATATGTTGTCAATTTAAATAGACCACAAAATGTTGATAGTTATTAATAACGAAACCCGATTAATCTCTAAATTATAATTCCAAACCTCTTATCCAGTGATGAAAAGTACTAACAATTGACCTAGACGTTCAAACTGATCAAAATTTGACCAACTTTAAGCACTGGTTGGCCAAGAAATTGACCTATACGAAATGGGTAAGTTGCCAGTGGCCTCGATACGGCTGCTCCACCAGGCCCACACTCTGTCACGAACGCTGAGAGTGGGAATGGAAGCCGACCACTATATATCAGAATATGTTATTGTCTTGCTGCATAACGGACGACTGAGTGTATAAATAGAATAGTTTGCTTCTTTTTGTGCTTTCTTTAATAGTTGCCGGATAGCAAGCTTGCTTATGTTGGCCGCCAGATAATCAGACAGTCTAACACCGTTAGCTAAAAAACAGTTTTTTTTTTATGTCAGCGTTTTCGTATCGTTCACTAAATGCAGCTCAGGCTCCTGTTGGGTTTGTATTACTCGGCGAAGAATTGAAAACAGTTACAACGCCAGTAGATATTTACGAACCGTTAATCTTCGGGACTATTGTCCCATTCCGAAAATATTTCACATATTTCTACTAGACATTTGTAAAGATTCGAAACACATACGCACACAAACACGCATATACATATATAAAAACATACATATGTTGAAATAGTGACACTTTCAAGAACGTTACGTTTTGGTAGGTTCAACCTCTTTCAATAAGTGGCAATCTAAAATTACTCAGACGGAAAGTTCTTGAGAGTGTGGCTATCGAATCTTACCAAAATGTTAACCTGCGCCTCGGATCTATCTATCTATCTATCTATCTATATATATATATATATATATATATATATATATATATATATATATATATATCCAGGATGTATGAAAAGAAAAAATATATATATCCAGGATGTATCAAAAAAAAAAAGTTTGTAAAAGTATTTTTGATACACCCTATATATATATATATATATATATATATATATATATATGTGTGTGTGTGTGTGTGTGTGTGTGTGTGTGTGTGTGATTGAATTAATGACGAATTTCGTCCTCTGAGGGACTTTGTCAAGGCAAATTATATTCTTTCGTTTTATCTATCTATCTATCTATCTATCTATCTATCTATCTATCTATCTATCTATTTCATTTTGCACATATCTATGAATCGGTTTGTTTTAGATGACGTCCATCAAAGGACGAAACGCGATGGCTAAAATAATTTTTCCTTTTGTCTTTATTCATATCTATCTATCTATCTATCTATCTATCTATCTATCTATCTATCTATATATATATATATATATAAGACACAGAATGTGTTGAAACAAAATGGCTATTTTTGTAGTGATCTTATAACATACTTATGTTATAATTTTTTATAAAAATATATATATATATATATATATATATATATATATATATATATACGCTCTATCTCTGATATTGAGCACTTTATCCCATTAATATAGCACACTTTAAAACTATATTTCTTCATATATATATATATATATATATTCATGAATTATTTTTACAAAAACAAATACAAAGGTTAATGATTTAATTGGCAAGAAATCCATCTTCGCGAACAATTCAGAATATATACAAAAACCCCGAACCTGCTTATGCATGAAAAGATCCTTGTTTTATAAATTTCAGTTGCATAAGTTCTTATTATTTTTACAAGCTTTCGTCTGTTCCTACAGACATCCTCAGGTATGGAATAGATTTTGTTCTTGTTTTTACTCCCAGTAATAAGAGGACAACGAAAATATACGTATTGTTGTAATCCGAAAATGTGTATATATATATATATATATATATATATATATATATATATATATATATATACATATATATATATTCCAAAGTTTTAAGTTCTGAATATTCCTTCTAAACTTCCTGTTACATAAGTCTAGACAGGCTAATCTTCGTTGCTATTTAACCCATAGATGGGGAGAGAAATGATGAATTCATACCTTTCCCAAAGATATCTGTCTATATTTCTGAGATGTGGTATTATGTACACTGCTTACATTATTCGGACTATTGTCCTGATCATTATCGCCATGTTTATTACAGCGTTTCGGCCGTTGTACGCTTCGGACTTCTTCAGGTGGTTGGAATGTCGAACTGAACCCTTTATTTCGCTCACTGGGGTAGACTGTTCTAGTTCCACGTGCCATGTTTAATGGATGTCAGTTATCAGTTATCTCCTGTTAATTTTCCTCTGAAAGTTCTCCACTGCCTTAAGCGGGTATTGAACTTACACTCTTTGGGTCCTCTCACTGGATCTAACTAATGTCTTTATCCACTATATATATATATATATATATATATATATATATATATATATATATATATATATATATATATATATATATATTATTAAATTGTTATGGATAGTTTTTAATTTTAATTTCAAATTTTATCGTAGCCCAACATATCATATCATTTTGGAATCAGGCCGACTCCCTGAGTGAATAAAAAACATTCCGGTGCGAATCCAGACCCCGCAATCCTGAAATTTTGGATTCCCAAATTTTCATTACTGTGATTATTTTCGGCGATTTTTGTACGTGATTTTTTCACGACGAATTTTTTTTTTTTTTTTGTACGATAACAATTTTCATAAATTGGAAATAGATCTGCCAAGAATAGAAATGAATTACGAAATCCAGCAAAAGTCAGCCATGAAATGAAAAAAATTGTTTGTACGTAAAGTAAGGACCTTTCTATATATACAGAGTGCGATGGATAAATTTTTCCCCTCTTATATTTTCGCCCATCCACTTTGTTTGCTTTTGATTTTGTTGACTGCACAGTATAGTCGGGTCAGTTGGGCACCGTCTGTAAGAAAACGAGCACCATGACGCAATTCACTCCGCCATAAATTTGTAATCGGCATACTGTACTGCTTGGCATTCGCGCCGGAAGCTCCAATATGAACATTTCAGAGTGTTTGGGTGTCAATTTGATGACAGTGCAGAAGTTTTGGAAAGAGTTCGATGAGTCTAATGCTGCTTACGAAGTTGATTGGTATGATCACTAGTGATAGCGACGTTATTCCACCATCCAACTTCTTAGACTCAACACGGAGGCCTACATCAAGTACCTTGAGGGGGTAGCACTGCACTGAGTCAAGAGGGTGGCTACTGGAAGACCCTATGTCTGGCAACAGGACACTGCACCATCCCACACAAGCAGGAGAACCCAGTCTTGGCTGTCAGACAATTTCTGCAACCACGTCACCCTTTATATCTGGCCACTTAACTCTCCAACCCCCTTGATTATTATGTGTGGGGCACAGTTGTACAAGAGACCAACAAAACTCCTTGTAGCACCAAAGATGAACTGAAGGCAAGGATTATAGCAGCATTCCTGCAACTTAAACAAGGAGACCATCCAGAAGAGTTGCAGGAGATTCTGAAGTTGTCTGGAGGCCATGGTTGAAGCCATTGGCGATTTTATTGAATAAATTTACTCTTTCGTATTTCAAGACATTTTTTGTGTAATTTTGGTATTTAGATATCAGTATTTTGTGATGTCAACGGACACTCGTTATCCCCTTTTGTGATGCCAACGATTACTCGTTGTCAGTTTCGTAATGCTCGTTGTAGTAGAGACTTTGTAATAGCAGATACAACTATAGTAACGCCGTTGAACAATACTGGTGTCAGACGCCTTCGAATATCACACACACTAATAGTACTTGCTCGACAATACTCACTCGAACAGTAACCTGTATTGTCCCGAATAGAGAAATAGCATAGCGAATAGAGTACAGAATAGCGTTCCGAATAGTAATAAACGATAGACTAGAATTGGACATCATTTTAGATGTCACGCAACTTCCAACTCATGCATTTCCTCTATGGTCACGTGGTCTACTTAATTCAATAATGGGATCGCCTGTGTTTGCTCACTGGCGATCTATGTTCAAACTCAAGTGTCGGCAGTGACACTTTATTCCTATATAACACAGTGTTACTTTCATTTTCTGCGTCATTTCGACAACAACGTATCCATCGCACTATATATATATATATATATATATATATATATATATATATGTTGCGATGGATAAGTCATATATATATATATATATATATTATATATATATATATATATATATATATATATATATATATACACTTTTGGCATATATGCGTATATACACACACACACAAACACACACACATATATATATATATGTACGTATTAGTCAACGAATCTGTTTTTGCCTAAGAATTGAGTATGTGTGTCTGTATCTGTGTGTGTGTCTATTTGTGCTGGCCTGTGTGTGTCTGAGTGGTTATACGCGTGATCGCGTTCACACGATTGTGTGTATGCGTAAGCACCATTCATGGGTCGCTCCCCCCACATAAAAAAACAGAGGGTTTTTAGGGGGTAGGGTTTGGGGTTATCGTCCTACGTTAGAAATCTAAGCGCAAAAATAATATTATCTTAACCCAGAAGGCTTTTCGGTGCAAGACGCCGAGTCAAAGGCGCCAGAAATATATATATATATATATATATATATATATATATATATATATATATTATTTTCTTTTTTTGCTGAACGTGACAAAAGAGAGAAACATTGAAACATCGGGAGAGAGAAAGATTAAGCGAAAATGTGTGAGAGAGAGAGGGTGAAAGAGAAAGAAAGATAGACTGAAGAAAAATGAGTAAAAGAGAGAGAGAGAGAGAGAGAGAGAAAAAAAAGATTAGGAAAGAGGTTAAGGAGAAGAGATAGATTGAATGAAAATAAGAGATTGAGAGAAAGAGAGAGAGAAAGAATAAGCGAAAAAGAGAAAGATTGATGGCTAGTGCGCGCGCGCATGTGTGTGTGTGTGTATTTGTGATAGATAGATAGATAGATAGATAGATAGATAGATAGATAGATAGATAGAGAGAGAGAGAGGGGGGGCGGGGAAGAGGTCCGTATTGGCTATCGGACTCTTTTCCAATCAATCCGAGTGCTCCAAATATAACTGGAATTCTTGCTGTCCTCATGTGCCACATTTTTTTCTTTAATTTTCTCTCCAAGATCCTTGTATTTTGATAGTTTTTTTCATTTTTTTTTTTTTGAAGGTCTTCAAAGATACCTTAAAATCTGCGGGGACTACCCTCTCAATAAGAAAGCCCATCTGTTGTGCTTTTTGTTCACGATGTATGGGCGATTAACTTTCATTATTCTGTCTGTGTGTCTTGTAAAGTCCCATAAATTTGCTACAGGTCCTATGTCCATAACCTGGTCTGGGTGATGTTCACACCAGTTTCTTGCAGTTTCCTTCCCATAAAAGTTGCATATTTTCCAGTGCAGATATTTGGCTAAATGCATCATATCGTGTTTTACATTCAGTTGATGCTAACACCGTGAAACCTGATACAAAATCTTTTATTGTTTCTGGATATGTAACACATTTTGGGTTAGCACAATTGTTTAATATTTTTTTTTAAGCGTTTCACCCCCAAGCAAGGTGGGAAGCCACTAGCACGCAAGGGGTTACAGAGAATTGGAGCAAGAGGAAATAGGAGTGATAGAGGAAAGGATGAAGAGAAGCATAAGGGATAGATCAAGGCATCTGGAGACGTCGATTGACATTACAATTGAATAGTTGGAGATTATAGCTATCAGGGAAACAGGAAGAGGAGAGGGGGTTCCACAGACGAGAGGTGCGAGACAAGAAGCTATTGGAGTAGAAGAGACGGCTACAAGTGTCGACAGTGAAAGGATGAGAGCGAGATGCCAGCCTAGTTGAACGCTTAAATTCATGAAGTTTGAGAACCAGCGAGAAAGCAGCTCCTTGGAGCAGTTGCCGTGAAAGTATTTGTAAAAAAGACAGAAGGAGGCAACGGCACGTCTGTGAGAGAGCGACTGCAGACGAGATGCCAGATCAGGGCCAATTACGTTAGATCTTTCGTCTCCGGATCTTATCAAGAACTTTAAGACAAATATAAGGAGCAGCAGAACATATATGGCAGCAATACTCCATGCAAGGGCGAATGGTTGATTTGTAGATTTTAAGGATAACTCCGTCGAGAAAAATTTCCTGGCGCGGCACAGGGAGCCAAGTTTCCTTGCGGTGTACGAAGCAATTGACTCAATGTATTTCTTCCATCTCAGGTCAGCAGTCAATGTGAGGCCGAGCAGTCGCAAAGAGGAGCTCTTGAGAAGTTTAGCGTCAGACATTCTATGTGTGCTTCGTAATTTCTAGTTAGCAAGCATCGGTCCTGTGCAGTAAGAATAAACCCTTCGGTTTCAGCTTTTGACCCTGCATTATGTAACCAATGAGGGGGGGGGGCAGGGTTTGTCTACATCAGATTGTTTGCTGTGGACTTAGTATTGACCATGAAGAGGCTAATCTTGCTATCGTTTTTGCATTTGGTAAGTTGCATTTACATTTGCTTGCTTTTTTGGTTCTTGCCACTGTAGTCAGTGAATTAGGGTTTATTTGCACTTCTTCATCCACTTGAAATTCCATTTTGAATTTTTTGGCTTCCTTCATTATTATTATTATTATTATTATTATTATTATTATTATTATTATTATTATTATTTCCTTTGATTTCTGATGTGTACTCATTTCTTTCCGGGTCCCCCCCCCCCGGGACCTAAGGTTAGAAATAACATCATGGCATTTTCCACTGGAAAAAAAAATTACATAGACAAAGCCCTTCGTAAGATGTGGGCTGTACTCATGTGAACAATGTTTTGCATTTTTGTATTGTATGGACTTCCAGGGATCCCTTCAATTAGTCTACTGGAATCTTTTCCAACCAATCCGAGGGCTCCAACTACAACGGGGATTGTTGATGTTCCCATGTGCCACATTTTTGAGATTTCGATTTCAAGGTGCTTGTATTTTGATAGCTTTTGAAGATCTTATAAGATACATTGGAATCTGCAGGGACTTCCGTATCAATAAAGGAGGCTATTATTATTATTATTATTATTATTATTATTATTTTGTACGCATATTATTATACCGTCTTCTCTGGGAAATGTTGGACCCCATCTAATATAGATATAGAGATCCGGTCTAACATATTTGGTTGGATAGATGCAAGTTTCGACCCAGGTTTCACGCTTTAGCGATCGTCAGTCTGACGATCGCCTTTGAAAAGGGTCTTTAATATAGTTTCACATCTATCCAACATAAATATATATATATATATATATATATATATATATATTGACATCCATATATATGTATGTATATATATATATATATATATACAGACTTATGTATAAGCAAGTTACATCTTTATGCGATAATATTATACAGAAAAAAAAGAGAGAGAGATGGAGAGAGACAGAGTGTAGAAATTGAAAGGTAGAAAGAGGTAGAAAATGAAGACAAAAAAAACCCCAAAGAATTCAGCAACTATCGAATAAAATAAAACGAATTAGAAATTCTTCGCCGTGGAAGGCAAGTCTCAAGTTCCCACTCATCAAAAAACAAAAGTCTATTCATTGAGTGTAACTTTAGAAAAAAAAAAAAGGAACAAAAAACTAATACAAAAAGATGAAAAAATTAAACCCAAAATCAAAAAGAAAAAAAAAGAAAAAAAGAAAAAGAAAACAACTTTCTTATGTTAGCACTTTTCGAGAATATAGTCCGTATCTATCGGGTTGATAACATTCGAGTGGCACTGGTCTACATTTTTCGCGGGCTTCCGCGTCTATACGCATGCGTACTTTGAAGACAGGGAAGGAAATATCTGAGACGTGCGGGGAAACGAAATTAAAAAGAAAAAGAAAAGCTATAATCAGAGGAATAAAAAAAAATGCAAGCAAACACATACGAAGCAACAAATATTTACAAATTTTACTCTTGACGTTAATAAGGCGAGCGAATAGCCAAAAGAATTGCTGCTATATCAAGTGAATGTCGTAGGCTTTAATCTACGTAAGCAGTTATACAAAAAATCCGTATTTTACATTTATTTTAATTCCTTTCATTTTAAGCAAGGCAATAAAGCCACTAAGATGCAATGGTTTACTGATCTTCAATATAAGAAATAAAAAAGAACAATATTAACTTATCCCCTTTCCAAGCGTGATATGTAAATTTTTTCACCGAAAGTCTTATTTCTGACACGAACAAATAAATACGTCCAGATTCAAAAATCAGCTATAGACGTGTTTATACGTCGATCTTAATTAGTTTTTATGCCCTTATGATCTTGATTCTTTTTATGTCCTTCTGAGCTTGAAACGAGTCCAATTGTCAATTCATACGCTTAGTAGAGGTGTTAGCCACCGCTCGGGTACCTCAAAGTACCTCAGTTCATAGTCGATCTTGATTCTTTTTATGCCCTTCTGTAATTGTCAAACTCATACGCCTGGTGAAACCGCTCGGGTACTTTTAAGGTGCCTCTGTTCAAGTCGGTCTTGATTCTTGATGCCCGTCTGGTGAAAGAGTCCAATTGTCAACTAGCGTCACCACTCGCTCAGGTACTTCAAGGTGCCTCTGTTCATAGTCTATCTTGATTCTTTTTATGCCCTTCTCAGCTTGAAACGAGTCCAATTGTCAACTCATACGGCTGGTAGAGGTGTTATCCACCGCTCGGGTACTTCAAGGTGCCTCTGTTCATCGTCGATCTTGATTCTTTTTATGCCCTACTGAGCTTGAAACAAGTCCAATTGTCAACTCATACGTCTGGTAGAGGTGTTAGCCATCGCTCACGTACTTGAAAGTGCCTCAGTTTCTTAGTTACTATATTAAAAACAGCTAAAAACATTCGTTTGAAAATGAAACGTTTTTCGGCAAATAATTCACAGGAAAGTGCTTAAGGAGAGAGAACTATAAAAGAACAGGTATTAAGAAAACAAAAGATGACTACTGAGAAAGGTAATTATTTAAATTTTTGAAAAACAAAGTTGACTGCAAAGGCAGGGGCCGGAAGAGAGTTCCACAAACGAGAACCGCAAGTGAAGAAACTGTTAGCATAGAACTTCCGCTTTCATCTAGCGATTTTTTAGCTGTCAAATAATGAGACCTAGGAACCAATTTAAATTCGCAAAAATCGAGATGGCAGGTAGGAAAGCTCATCAACACAATTACTATGAAAATATTTATAGAAAAGGCACGAGGAAGCTAGTCTACGGCGGTGGGAATGTGAGTAAAGATGAAATATTAAGAAATAAAAAATAAAGAGTGAGGAGATTTTAAGAAAGAAAGAAAGAAAGAAAGTAAGAAGGAAAGAAAGAAAGAAAGAAAGAAAGGAATATAAATACAAGCAAATAACTCAGAATGGAAAAAAAAAGAAAGAAAGGAATATAAATACAAGCAAATAACTCAGAATGGAAAAAAAAGAAAGAAAGGAATATAAATACAAGCAAATAACTCAGAATGGAAAAAGAAAGAAAGAAAGGAATATAAATACAAGCAAATAACTCAGAATTGAAAAAGAAAGAAGGAAAGAAAGAAGGAAAGAAAGAAAGAAAGAAAGAAGGAAAGAAAGAAAGAAGGAAAGAAAGAAAGAAAGAAAGAAAGAAAGGAATATAAATACAAGCAAATAACTTAGAATGGAAAAAGAAAGAAATAAAGAAAGAAAGAATGAAAGAAAGAAAGATTAAAAGAATGGATGAAAGTAAGAATGAAAGAAATCAGTCAAATGTAGGGAGGGAGCGAGAGTAAAATAGAGAATGTTAGAGAGAGTGAGAAATCAGAATAAACGTGTTTGTGAGTGAAGGCGAATGATAGGAAGTGGAGAGAGAATCGAGCACATGTCTGTGTATGTGTATGTGTGTCCATGCATGTATATGTGTCTGTCTACATGCGTGTGTGTGTGTGCGTGTCCATGCATGTGTATGTGTGTGTGTACTTGCATTTGTATGTGTGTCCATTCATATGTATGTGTTCATGCATGTGTATGTGTCCATGCATGTGTATGTGTGTCTGTGTACATGCCTGTGTATGTGTGTCTATGTATGTGTATATATGTGTGTGTGTTTGCTCCTTCATGTGATTGGCTTTTCTGTTCCGAATCTAAAAATATTGATTTTTTTTATCGATTCAAAAGGTTTCTTATATCGAAACAGTGTAAAATCGGCCCTTGGCATTTTACAGAGTTATTGGACTTTATTGCATCGATTTCTTACTTCTTATTGTCGAGACAACAACGCTACACAATAGATTCAACTGGAATACGAGAATCGACGTTAGAAATGCGACGTTTAAATTAGGTCTGCATTAATTTAATATATAAAGCTCAAAGTTTGTGCGTATGTTCCTTCGAAACACTGAAAATTAATTTGTTTCTCCATTTGTATGCGTGTACAAATATTACGCAAAACAGTGATATCAAACAAGTGTGTTATTTTCACTTAATATTGCCAACATGTGTTTTATATCTTGCCCAACTTGTTCGCTCATCTTGTCCGTATTAATCAAATTTGTATTGATACAAACAATTGCGACCCCATTCCACATTCGTCAATTTTCGTTGGTAAATGCATGAATTTTTATGGACTGTGTATTCTGCAATAAAATAACGAATGTGGTTTTGTTCCGATAAATCTTTAGACTAAACCCGAAGTATGGTATGGTGCAAAATATTGGCATCTTCAGAAGTGAAGATATCTGGAGGATGCAATGTAGAAGAACTTCATGACGTAGCCCAATTATTATTTGCTGCGTCGCATTTGCAGGATGAAATACTGTCGTACAAAAAAATCACTGCATTATTTACATTATTCGAACTGTTATCCTCATCTTCATTGCCATATTCACAACGTTGTATGCTACAGCCTTATTCAGGATCTGTCTATATCTCTGAGAGGAGGTATTATGATTACTTTATTTACATTATTCTGACTGTTATCCTCATCTTCATTGCCTCACAACGTTTATTTACATTATTCGGATCTGTCTGTTATTATTTACATTATTCGGACTGTTATTCTCATTTTCATTTGCATATTCACAACGTTTCGGCCGTTGTACGCTCCGGCGTTCTTTACTTGATTGGAATTTTGAATCGAACCTTTTATTTCGTACATTGTTCTACTTCCACGTGCCATGCCTCTAACGGATGTCTCAGTTATTTCCCTATCTACTCTGATAAGCGTATAAACGCCAACCGATGTTTACTCCTGCAAATTCTTGTAAAAAAAAAGATTTTGCTCACCTCTGAAGGCTTGACTGATTTTTCTTCTCCCTCTTTTGTGTGCCGTGTCGATTATGAGTCTCCACAGTTTCTTGTCTTTTGTAGCTCTTAATAAATGTCTTTTTCTTGTCTTTTCAAAGCTCTGTTCCACCCATCCTCAGACTCTCCCAGTAAGTTATGCATTATTTTCCTCTCTCCCTCTTTCCTTCAGTCTCCCTGTGAGCATCAAATTTTCCAAGCCTTCTTTCCTCATTATGTACGCTAGACATTTCAAGTGTTTCTTTCCGATTTTAAGTACAAGTTCCCTTTTCGTTTCCATTTGGTCTAAAACTTCATCGTTGCTCAATTATTCGGTCAATGGTATTTTCTTAACATTTTCGACAGACTTTCAAATAAAAAAATCTTGCGAGTCTAAAATAATTAGCATCTGGAATTTTATCGTTTAGTTGAGTTTCCCTTTGACTGACGAACTCAGTGTAAGGGTTGAAGCGACTGAGAAAACTGTTACTGATCCAGTTTTAGCGAATTTTTCTCATCAGAATCCATCATGTACATTTATAAATCTACCATTCTTCCGTGAATTGAATATTGCTGCCATATCTGGTCTGGTGTTCCTGTTATATATCTTGAGATTCTCAACAAAATCCAAAGAATATAATGTTATTGGTCCTCACCTAGAATCAAGACTTTACTTTCCCACCGCCAAAGTTTTTCTCATCAGAATCCATCTTGCATATTTATAAATCTACCATTCGTTCTTGCATTGAATATTGTTGCCATAATTCAGTCTGGTGATCCTGTTGCACATCTTAACTTCGGTAACATTCTCACCGACTTGATGTGTCTTCCTTCTATCTTTTCTACAAATATTTTCATGGTAACTGCTCTGACGAGGGTTTTCTCTGGTGTCCCGACTGCATGAAGTCAGCTACTAAATTGGCAACTAGGTCCCACCGTTTTACTGTTTATTTTCTCACAGTTCCAGTCTGTGGAACACCCTTTC